GCAAATACTTGAGACCCCTCTAAAAATCCCCATAACTATCTATTTTAATCGTTGAAACATCAAATGCACCTTAATGCATTTTCTTTCGAATATTTTAAATGTACACCATGAAAACATCCGAGTAGGCAGATTTTCTGACTTTCTTCGTTGGTGTGGCCTGTCTTGACTGACTTGACCCCTCAAGACGTGTGAAAACATAAAAACCACCCAACTTCATGGCTTGGGTGGATTATAACTCTTCCAAAAGTCTGTAATGTTTTCTAAAGTGTTCATTAGACATTCTCTCTAATGACGAATTGAGTATTTTGCTTTATTTCAGCAAACTCTCCTGCTCTGGGGGAAGTGAGTCTTTTAAATCAGCCATAAAAGATGTCGGTGCACCCCAGATTTATGGACTTTTTGCAGGGAAAGAAATCGGAAGAAAGGAGTCAGTTATTTTTTCTTATCTCCGAGAAGATGCATTCCTTAAGAAATCAACCCCAGCGGGTCTCATACCTTCTTCTGTCATGATGCACACTCATTCTGTTGTGTGTGCTATTACATAAGTGCTAGGTGAACTCTGGCAGGACGTGCTGTTCCAGAGAAGCCTGAGTGAGCTCAGAGGAAGTTCAGTCAAACCACAAACAGAAAACTAGAGTGCTTTTTCTGGAAAAAAAAGGTCGGTAAGAGCATGACGGAGCACATTCTCTTTAAATCCCATCATCTCTTGACATTATGTCGGTGAAAGTTTAAATATATATGTAGCCCTTTTGTAGATCTGAAGACTTCCTGGCAACGAACTTAAAAGCTTGTGAGGAGGTGACAACCTGCACAAACTCTCCTCGGATTGTCCTCTTTAGCCAAAGATCTGATGGCTGTGAGGAAACTGCTGCCAAATTTCACTGCTTGACTGATTTTTAAACCATCAGTGGTCATGAATCTAAGTGATTCTTTGAATCTCAACTTGATCTAACCGCTGGTGTAAGCATCCATTAGTTTGCACCATAAAGAGACCAAACTCTGAGCAGAGCGCTTGGTGTGCTTAAGATTAGTTTTGATTGAGTAATAATTTTGATTCACCACAATAGACTCATCTCCTTTCAAACAGGTCAAGCTTTATCACATCCGCTGCTTCAGGGTGATGCAGCCTTTCTGTCTGTTCTCCTCTGTGTGTGTCTGTGTGTTAAATGGGCATGCCTGTAGGATGTGTTAAAACAGGGGTTCATAAGTCAGGTGCCACGTGGCGGTGGACGTGCTAAGCCAAGATGAGCGCTATGGTGGCACCACTTGTGTGTGTGTGTGTGTGTGTGTGTGTTCTCAGCTGTTTCGAGAGAGGATGTATGTGTGTGTCCACTAATCCAGGGAGATCCAAGAGCTGGCACGCAAAGGGATACACAGACTACACAATCGCATGACGTGTGTTTGTTTCATGCACACTCAGCCCCTCACCGTAACTCTGTAAAACCTCAACATCTTGACAAGTATTTATGGTCGAGTTTCTAGTGCACAATAAACTTAAAATGAGACAAAACTAACTCACAGGTAACTTTTTGACAAGATATAGGAGCTTGTTTTAAGTCAATAACTCATTAATATTGATAAAAAGTACCTGTTTCACTGGCAGATTTAACTTGTAAGAAGACATTTTGTCCACGTTGTAAGTGGAAGAAATTTCCCAGTGGAAGTAGTACCTTTGATCAGTATTCAAGAATTACTGACTAAAAACTTGTATTTTGCAAAAAAGTTACTTGTAAGTTAGTTTTGTCCCATTTCAAGTATACCAAGATATTTGCACTGGAGACTAGACAAAAGGTAGTTGGTATAATTTTGTGTTTTTGTGTCCATATTGGGATTCTATCTTTACCAATTTAGCCAGAATTCTTTATAGTAGATGTGAATCAGAGGCCTACAGTGAACAGTTGACAATCATTTGTACAAAAAGATGTGATATTAATTACATTTTTTTATTGAAAAGATTCAAATTGTATGATTTGTACATACTCCACAAATTACAGGATCAGCGAGGAAAGCCAGGTCTCCAGCTCATTCAAGGCGATCCCTGCAGGTCCTGTCCTGTTCACCTCAGCTGCTTGTTTCCAGAATCTTGTTCCTTTAGACATAATCGGTATGTCATGTTCCATGTAATTGTTTATCATCTCCTCCACCATCCTGACATCACATGCGAGTTAGAGATATCTGAACTTTTCTACTTGAGACAGAGACTCACTCCGTTTCCAGAGGGAGTGGTTGACATTTTTCTGGAAGAAAATCATGACCTCAGGGTTGAAGGAGTTGACCGTCAGCCCTGCCATGTCAGTACAAGAGTCTGAACCAATCTAGTTCATGATGTCTTGCTTTGGTAGTACCAAGAACCAGACCACTCTTAAGAATAAGCCAGCTGCCCCATACTCCTAAAACACCCCACCCACAAAATACCTCTAGAGATGTGGACACAAGCCTCCTCCTGATCTAGAAAACACATGTAGACCACTAAACAAAGTTCTCATAACCCCCTCAGTAGGCCAGGCTCACTATTGGGATAAAGGCCACTCTGCTCATAACTTTTTTTTTCCCATCATACAATTTTTCTAACCCTGGTTGCATAAAAGGTTTTTATACATGACCTGCATCCAATCGTCAAGCTCAGCTGTCTGATCTTTATAACAATCCTGGCTTTCATGGACCTTACCAGTGGTTTAATTCTTGGGAACTTTTTATTCTCTCCTTTTTTTAGAATTCCCAAAATAACATAACCCTTTCCAGGGATTTAAACCACGGATCTGCATATGCACAGTTTTAAAAGGATAGGAATGTTCAGTATTTGAAACACTAAAACCCAGCACTGACAGAAGAATCTTTCAGAGATTTTAGTAAGTCTTTTTCCTGCTTTGAACTCTTGAATTTGGCTAAAATCTTCTTTTTCCTCAGCTGCTTGAGTCATGGCAGGAATGCGAACCCCTCAGTGCGGTGCTATGGAGAGCTCACCTATCTGTGTACACTCTTTTTAGATTGCCGTTTGATTCGCTCACCTTTCTCTGCCCTTCTCGCTCTGTCTGATGGGGAAACTCACTAAAAGAATCGCGGTTTTGATGAAACATCAGGAGATGTTGTAACAGACGTCTACGTTTTGATCCTTGGGAGATGGTCTGACATCAGTGAGTCAGTGGCAGGAGAGACGCCCAAGTCATTTTTACCTGCAATTTGCTGCAGTAGTTTAGTAAAAAAAGTAATGAGCCGGACATAGTTGGTACTTAATATGTAGCATTTTCAGAACTGATGGAGACGATAGACAAAAATCTGGGAATGAATGAGTGAATACAAACTGCATGGTTTCATGTTGACCTCTCCTTAGTTTTACTCTGAGTCAGGGCTTCTTCTCAGAGTGTGATCTATTCTTGCTTTAAAGCTCGACAGTGGCTTGACCTGGGTGCAGCGACCTTGGGTGTAGGGGAGGAAGTGAGGAGTCTGTGCTGCAGGAAAAGACTCTGGCTCGTGCAACTCAGAGCGGGGCTTTAATCTCTGCTGCACCGCCAGAAGGCTTTGACAGTGTGCAGGCCCCAATTAGGTTGCTCGATTGAGCTAGAGGATTTGTACTTCTCTGGTCTTTTTTTGAGGGTGGATTCACACTAACTCCATTTGGCCTTGTTTGTAACGTCAGCTCGTTTGCCTAGAAAGTCCAGTTTGTTTGGGAGGTGTGAATGTGTAATCGAACATTGATGTGGACCAAAACAAAATGAACTCTGGTCCATCTAAAATGTGGATGCAAGTGAACCGTAGACTGCTCCAAAGCAGGAAGTAGACCATAGACCAGGGAATTCTGGGTAAATATAACCAGAACAAACCTGCTAGTTTGTGGAAGAAGTAAGTCTTTTACCAACGAAAAAAGAGAAATCCTGCAACCAGTAAAATCTGCCTCTTCATTTTTGATAAAATTCTGTGAAAAAGGAAGTTGCTCTCATGACTTCAGTGATTCTTGTGCAGTGTCACCACAGACAATAGGGCGGGGGATGGAAATAATTTTTAAAGGGTTATTTCATTTGACACAGTGCTGTGAAAACAAACCGCACCAACTGATAATGTTGCATCACAATCACAAATGTTGCAATTTTGGTTCCCAGTCAGAGTCTGCTGGACTATCAGGTGTGAAAACACCCTTAGACTGTCTTCAACTTGGACTCACCCAAACTTAACCTCATCTTTCATGAGGTCATTTTTTCTCCCCAATTGATCTGGTGATGCATTAAAAACTGCCAACAACCTGATGTGATGCTCACAGTCTTTCAATGAGGGCATATTTCTCTTGAGACTAGTGAATAATGCTTGTATGATTAGCATGTACCTCTTTTTGCTTTCATGAGGGCTACACTCCCTGTTTAAAGCTCCAAAATTTGCTGTTCACACACACACACACACACACACACACACACACACACACACACTACTCCTCCGAGCACAAGGAAACAATGTCAGGAAGTACATTAGCAGGACCTCCATTGTATTTCCCCATACGTCCCTTGCTTCCTGAGCCGGCTGTCGGTGCTGCCTCGCTGCAACACACTGAAGAGTCTACTAGTCCTGAAGGTGGTGGGGAAAGCTGGGGGGTGTGGTTTGATATGTCTGGAACAGAGACAGACGGATCCTTAATACTGCAGCTCTCAAGCTTCCTAATTTGGACCCACAGCATCTCCCAGTTGCTGACCTATTCTCAGATTTGTGGATTGAGTGTAGGGGGTACAGTTTTGGATTATGTCAGGGTAAGCAGATCCCAGACCAGCACATGAGGTGACTTTAGAGGGGCACAGATGGTGGGAGTCGCCAAACCTCAGGGCTGCCTGTGGCGGCCTCTGCGGTCTTTTAATTGTAGCAGAAACAATAGTGGAGCAGGGAGCTGTTTATTCTAAAAGTGTGTGACCATGATGGCATTTTCACTCCAGCCCAGCCCTTCTTTTTTTTATTTTTTATTTTATTTTGAACGTTTCTCTGTTTCGATGTAAAGACTTTGTGCATTGTTCTGTGTGCAGGTTTGCCACCACCCAGACTGCCAGGACCTGAACAGCAAAAGCCCCCTTCATCTGTGTGATTCATGTGACTCACGATGCCATCCAGAGAGCGCCGACAACATGCACTTTGACCGACACCCCCGATTCGACCTGCAACCTCAAGGTAGATGATTTCTTTATTTGGTACTCCATTCCCCGCCCCTTCTGCCTGGTAGGGGGATGAAGTCATCCCCCATTACCTCATGACAGGACCTTCACTGTGTAAATATCACGCATGCCAGGTCTTTATTGTTGTCTATATAAGGCAGGTGATGTCGATCATTTTCCCTTTTTGTGCCTAAGCACTCCGATCACTCACTTTAAAGACATTCTGATTGGCAAGAAGCAGCAAATGCAGTAAATGTTCAGGTGAAACCACAGAAACCTGACTTCAAACCTGACGCATGGCGCTGTTGGCTCACTCACACAAAGCTCTGATTGGTTGGTGACTTTCAAACCCTGACTAATCTTCAACAAAGACAACCCCAGTTTCCCATCTAAACCTCTGAGCAGCGGGGAGTGGGCTGTAATCTGAGGATCTGGGGCTTGTACAAACTAGCCACGGAGGGCGTTTCATTTTTTTTTTTTTTTTTTTTTTTCCCCCATCTCCAGGTGTTGACATATTTAGAACATTTCTGCTTTCATCTTATTGCCGTTTGGACAAAACTACTTCTAGTTCTGGGAATTTAAATTTGATGCGTCTAGTTTCGCAGTTTTTCCTCCAGATAAAAACACATTTCTTCCCCATTTTTTAAATCTGCCATCTTTCCCAAAATATTTCCCCAGAAATTATCGGGATGTTTCCACCCGGGGATGATCCCGATAAGACGTTCAAACCACCTCAACTTGCTCCTTTCATTGCGGAGAAGCAGTGGCTTTACTTTGAACTCTCCCCAAATAATTGTCATAATAATCCTTACTCTAATTTTAAGACCGAGTCCAGGATGTAAGCGGTCAATTAGCTCAGATTTCTACTCCTGGGAAGATTACAGGCAGTAATGTATTCTTTCTTATGAACAATGTTTTCTTTTTTCTATATGTCTGAAAGTGACCTTTTAACCTTCCCCAGATAGATTAGCAGCAACTATTGTTTCTCTAAGAACATTGCTGTTGTCTTTCCTTTTTGGCATTGTATTAAAACACACCTGTGTGCCCTGGAGCATCAAACAGACAGAATTCCTCCTTTTATAGAGATGATCACATTTCCTGATGAGTTAATAAAGATGCTCACCATGAGCTGCACGTCATTGCAACTTTCTCACTTAAATCCTGTACTATCTGATTAGGTTGCCACTGTGAATTTATTTCCTCTAAGTTCATATTTGTTGAATAAATGTTACAAAATGTTTTGAACTCATGAGGTTAGATTTAGTATGTTTAACCAATACAAAAATTAGGGCTGAAACAGCTTATTGGATTGATCAGGATGAATCGATTGATATTAACTACAGATATTTGCTCAAAGAACATACTCAGCAGTAATTAAGCCAAAACTGTACCAAAAATATATGTTTCATTCTACTAAGAACTCTTCAAGTGATGTAGTTTGAAACTATGCGCCATTTGCAAGCCAATTATTATTATTTTTTTCTTAAATAGTTAACAGATTAGCTCTACACTGTATTGATAAGTCAATCAGAAAGTCCTTCAGATGCATCCTTTGCTACAAATGGTCAAGCATGCACTAAATAAATACTTTGTTGGTGCAGTTTGGGCCATAAAATGCTTTTTCTCAATTTAAAACAGAATTGAATTAAAAGGCTTAAATTAAACATTTACAGAATGTGCCAATTTCTTTCATTTGTCATAATTGATTACAAAAAATAATTGTTGGTGTCAGCTCCAGCCTCCACATAAAATCTATCATAAAATGAGGCTGTATTGTTTGTATTAGGATCCATGCTCGTATTTTAAGTCACAGCAGGCTGTCTTTAGAACCACAGAGTGCTAATCTTAAGGGTTAACATGGTTTGTTTGTGTGTGTGTTTTAGTAATTTGTGTCAGCTCTGTGGACTGCAGCGTTTGAGGTAAAATGAGTTGTGATCCAACAGAGGGAGTGACTTCTGTGTTTTCTTAACCTCCAGCTTCCATCCTGGCTCGGAACGTGTCCACGCGCTCCTGCCCCCCACGCACCAGCCCCCCCCCCGATCTGGAGGAAGAGGATGAAGGGAGCAACGACCGCGGGTCGGTAACCTTCCTCCCGTGTCCTGCTAGTGTTTGTGCACTCCTCCTGCCTCTCATGCTCTTACAGGAGGATCATTTACGGCCATGAGAAGTGTGTCTTGTATTTTTAAGCGTCGTGCTGACTTTCAGCAGGCAGTTTCTTTTGTTTTGAAGAGCTGGCGCTTGATTTTTATAATGATTCATCTTTGCAACTGCTTTGCAGTGAGCGTAAAACGGTGGGGATGAAGTTGGGAAAGAAGAAGCCAAGGAGACGACACACTGATGTAAGTAACTCTCCTGTTTGTGTCTTTGTTTTAAACGGGGCAGCAGTTTTCTTTTAACGGGAGTTTAGAAAATATTCATTCTGGTTCCACACGACTGTCCTTCACCTGAGCGAGTCAGACGGCTCAAAAAGAAGGAGCCCCCCTGTGGATGAGCCGGGAACAAACACCACTGTGGCCTAACGGTCCATCTGCTCTCTGCAGGACCCCAGCAAAGAGTGTTTCAGCCTCAAGTTTGACCTCAACGTAGACATCAACACAGAGATTGTACCGGCTATGAAAAAGAAAACACTGAGGTTAGACGAGTCAGATGATGGCAGGAGCAAAATCAATTGTGTTAAAAGTGTTTTTTCAAAACGTCTTTGTGTCTTGTGTTGTCAGAGAGGTTTTAGGTCCAGTGTTTGAGAGGAATGGCATCGAGCTGTCGCGGGTCGACCTGTTCCTTGATCAGTCCAATACGCCGCTGTCCCTGCACTTCGAGGCCTATCGCTTAGGAGGACACTACCTCAAAGTTAAAGGTAAAAACTGTCAACCATACCTTTCATTAACAACCGATCTTCTGTCCAACTCACTGGACTTTTGTCCATTCACAGGTCATAACAAATAACTGACTAATCAAGGAAAGACGACAGTTCAACGTATAATTGCCATTTCTAAGAAAAAAAAATCTCTAGAGGACTTTTTACATTGATAAACATTCACTTATGTTTGAAACTTGCTTTGTGGAAAATGTTGCTACTATGCAATGTAGGATTTTCTGTCACAGAAACTATGGCAGATAGAGCTTCTTTTGGTACATACATGATATATTTTTAGTCTGCACAAATTGAGACAGCTTTTCCTCATTTTCGTCTGTGCAGCACGTCCCGGTGACGAGGGGAAGGTGGCGCAGGGTGTGAAGGACTTTCGGTCGCACAGCCTGCCCATCATGAAGCCCCCTGACGGCCAGAGCCCCTACATCCTCACCCCGAGAGAGAAGGTGGCACACGAGTCTCTGGGACGCCGTGAAAGCATTGATCTGCTGGTGAGTTCATGTTTTATTTCTTGCCATGCTGCAGCTCGCCACACCTCCTCCGGCTCCTTATTTTTAACTTTCCCAGCTCTCAAAAACACATTTTGAACACAAACAGACACTCCCACAGACTGTTTGGTTCTACCACACCTTTTCCCGATTTTCCATAGCTTCCCTTTTGTTCCTTCCGTCCCATAAAACCTCTTCCTTCCTCATCTTCATGGATGAGCATGGTGGATGTTTTTTTTTTTTTTTTTTTTTTTTTTTCTTTTTTTTTTTTTTTTTTCCCCCCCTTTTTGGTTTTGGGGCCCCGAAACCCCCACTGGGACTTTTA